GAGGAGGAGCACGGCATGACTGGAAGAAGTTTCAAGGAGGAAATCTGATTTCCTCGTTGAAAGTGCTTCAGTCATGCCGTGCTATCTTTATACGACCACCTCAGTGTGAGTTTCATGTATTATCGATGACTGCCTGATGTGCTCATTAGCTCAGTCAGGGGTATGTTTTCGACAAGTATATTAGCCCATTTATAGCGAATACTGTAGTGTTTTTCTTTGTCCTTCTCTGGGCGATACCAGAAAAGGCGTTGTCCTCACAGTGTTGCCAGTGGAGCACCCATAAGGGTTTTCGAAATGGTGTAGCCATTAATGACTCTTTTCAACCTCTCTGGTCACTCCTGAACTTGCCTACTACTTTACCAAAGTTCTGCTGTTTTTCTCCCCACGACAATCACATTTGAAAGTTTCGCGTCCGTCTAACCTCTCTGGGTAATGAATGAATTGGTGTCCTCACGTATTCTATTTCAGAGTTCTTTATTATTAAGCCTTTGATTCGATTCCTACAATGTCGATCTCATGCTCACGCAGCTTGGCCGACATCCGTGCTGAACAGGTACTGTTTGATAAGTCTGATTTTGTTTTGTGCTATCCTCATAGCTCTCCTTCTCTGATTAGGCTGTCAGATTTTCAGTCGCATCTGTTGCAGGCTGATAACTTGGATCGTCTCCGATCAACGCTTGAGACGATGAATTTGAAGGATCTAGTACCGATCCTTGTTGCAAGGAATGTCCTAAAATCGTACGAGATGGGTGCTGTATACGCTAAGGTGAGGGTCAGGCTCAGTAGAACTGGATTACGGTGATATGTCCGTATTACCTACTAGAAAGTCTTCATGCCAAAATGTTCAGGTCGCCATTTTGGCATGAAGACCTCATCTAGTAGGTGATGGTCCGGGATTGAAGTTCTTTTTTTCTAGTATCATAACTGCTAATGACAGGATGTCAGAGGCTGCGTTCATACTTTGCGACTCAAGCATTTAGTCGCGCGAAAACCAAATCATTGTGACCGACTCGCGCTCCACGGTCTATTGCTGAACTGCTGCAACGGTTGAGAGACGTTCTATCTCGAATGTGATTGAATTGGCAGTCGCAGCGGTCCTAGGCAGCGTTCAGACTTCGCGATGACGCGCAATGGCCCAACCTGTCGCTAAGTCTGAACACTGCCTCGCGATTAGCGATGAAGCGCGAGCGGTCGCGTTATGTTTCTGAGGACAACCGCATTAAAATACTGGGGCATCTCGTTAACTTCTGTACAAGACACCGACGGCTACTTTGTGAAGTCCTGTAAACTCTTGTAAAATGTGAGACAAATTTTGTAGTTTGGAACCATGGCATCGAAAAATCTTCACAAGGTCCAAAAAATTGGGGGATTGAAGAAGCGGGTACGAGCCAGTAGGTGAAGATTTTCTTAACTCGAAGTAATGTAGTTCCGCAGTGGGTTAGGTTAATGCACAAAATATCGGTCCTTCTCGAAACTTCTCAAGACTCAGGAAAAATTAACGTTTCCCTGGTTAACGGTCGTTTTTTGCACCTGCGAGCTCTAGACCCCGTCTACCATTTCAAAAAGAATAATCTAGCCCCACAAGAGTTTACGAGCCTTCACGAGATCGCCGGCTTCACTGAAAGTAATGCTCCTGAATTCTACTAGCTCCCAATTTTGTAGTGGAGGATCTGCCGAGAACCACCATCTTTTTAGGAATCTACTCAAGCGCAAGTTGACGCATTGATTTGTTTGTTAAAAACGAAAAATCACTGGGTTGGACCGATGACTGACGCACTCATCAGGAATGGACAGGTGAGGAGGCTCTTGACACGCAGAGTGTGTTCATACTGTGCGTCAGCGTTTCGAGCGACTAGGAAAGGATAGGTCGTAACTCGATCGAACTAGTATCCTGAGCTTACGCAAGAAACATCAGTGTTCGCTCAAAACGTTGATGCAAAGCATAAGCGCACTCTCACTTTTTTCCTCATCATAAAGAATGCTAAGAAACTGTATGAAAGGGGAATTTTTCCGGCTTTGTGACGCTTCGAAGGGTTCAGTTTGCAATTTCCTCTCCTGGCGTCAAACCACAAGAGCTGTAGCTTCCAGCATGTCACCTATAGTACCGCTACTGAACACCTTACCGAGCAGTTCTTCGCCTTATGCTGTGTCTCTATGCTGTCCCTCTCACCGAAATTCAGGCCACAATTTGATTACAAAGTTCTCGCAGGGGAGGGGTGAGGTGGGGAAGAATTGGCCAAGAACTTGACCCGTGTTATCGTTTTCAATAACCTCTGATCAAATGAATACGATAACACTACCAGATGCGAAAATGTCAGCGTCCAGCCACAGGCGCCAGCGCCGCAGAACTGCTTTGGTACCAATTCACTTAGCAGGCGTTTTTGCGCCATGCAAAAGTGATATTTATGCTCGAGGGTAGAACCACCTTGGAGTCAGATTTCTAGCGGTATCTACTTCCTGGGGAGAAGCTGGACAAAAATTTCGCTCAAGTTCCGAACAGTGGAACAGTAACTTGTGAATAGTGCCTCTTCTTCATATTATGGTACTGCAGAGAGCCTACTGATACTAGCCTGAGTCATAAAGGCCTGCATGTGCACTCCTTGGATTTCCACGACAGAAATGAGGGCTTTCGCCCGAGTCCACAGAGGGGAGTAGCTCTGCGGTCAGGATACGAAATCGTTGTGAGAATCGCATCAGGGGCCGTATGTGGCTCTGAGGAGGGAGGGCTCCAATTCGGTCGGTGGCCGGCCTTCATAAAATTTCTTCCAGTTGCTGAGATTTTCCAGTTTTTTTTCCTGGAATCATGCGCACTTTCCCCACCCACTGCTAGCTTTGGGTTCTGGAAAGAGAGGATTATGTTGGAAGTCTCCAGGAAGATGATAGGAAGGATGAGGAAAGAGAGGAGTCGTACCATAGAACGGATTCTAAGGGGGATGTGCTGACAT